AGATGGATAGATAAATAGATAGATAGATAGATAGATAGATAGATAGATAGATAGATAAATAGATGGATAGCATCCTCCAGTGGACACTATGTTTATTACAGATCAGAGGATGAAGCAGAAGTGTTTAACTGAAGAAGAAGAACAGAGGCTGTAAACTGATCAGCAGCAGCGCCAACTAGTACCTCTTACTAAATACTGTATCCTAAAACACTCCATATATATATATATGAATTATTACTATTATACATTACAGAAATCATCCAGGCAGTGATGAGGGGTGGTGCCCCCCTCCGCCCCTCCCTCTGCTTCCACAGTCACAGTGAGGAGCTCGGAGTCCTGATGCAGCGCTGCTGGAGCGAAGACGTGAGCGAGCGGCCCGACTTCAGCACCATCAAGATCCTGCTGAGGAAACAACACAGGTGTGTGTGTGTGAGATGAATGAGGAAGAGTTTTAAACATCCTGCTCTCCTCCAACATTCAGCAGAGAGATGAAACACATGAACCCTCCTCTTGAGAGAGCAAAGACAAACCACTCCCCTCAGGTGTCCCTAATAAACTGACTGATTCACATGTGCAAACAACAAATTCATGTTCTTCTCTGTAGACCAAACACACACACACACACACACACACACACACACACACACAAACACACACACTGCTCCTGTCTTGATCTAAGTGAGGCCATCTGTAGCCGCCAGCAACACTTGGTATTTAGAGTAATTACTTGTGGAGTGTGTGTGTGTGTATGAGTGTATGTCTGTGTGTGTGTGTGTGTGTCTGTGTGTGTGTGTCAGTGTGACTGTGTGTGTGTGTATTCAAACACACCTGTCTCGTCTGTAGAGGTTATGGTTCAAACATCCTGGACAATCTTCTGTCTCGGATGGAGCAGTACGCCAACAACCTGGAGGAGCTGGTGGAGGAGAGAACGCAGGCGTATCACGAGGAGAAACGCAAAGCTGAAGCACTGCTCTACCAGATACTACCACAGTAATACTGCATCAAATACTATACAGTACATATACTGCAGTAATACTGCATCAGATACCACTACAAACTCTACTACAGTTACTAGATACTACATGTTCTGATGATGTCAGTTTTGTCTGACAGTTCAGTCGCCGAGCAGCTGAAACGAGGTGAGACAGTTCAGGCTGAAGCCTTCAACTCTGTGACCATTTACTTCAGCGACATCGTCGGCTTCACCGCGCTGTCTGCTGAGAGCACGCCGCTGCAGGTCGGTACCGCTCAGAACTCAGTACAACACATCTGTACAGTGGTGGTTGGTCAATAGAGGGCGCTAGGGCACCGCCCTCCCTTGTGGAGAGTGTTTTATTTATTTTTTATTTATTTGTATTTTTAAAACTCTAACGTTAGCTATGATAAATGATTTAAATATCTATGTGTTTAAATTTCACAATAACGTGTGTTGTATAACATAAATAAATCTGAGTAGAACTCAGTAGTTCAGTTCTTTCACGTAAACATCAGTAAACACTGAAACAACAAGACTCCATCTCTGATGAAACGTTCTGTGAATCTGCAGCAGGAGGTTCTAATGTTCTCACTCTTGTTTTTCTACCTGCAGGTCGTGACTTTGTTGAACGACCTCTACACCTGCTTTGACGCCATCATCGATAACTTCGATGTTTACAAGGTAGAACCACTTTCACCGCTTCAGTCTGTGCTAGGCTACATTAGCATGTGACCCCTTGTCACGTGAGGAACATCCGCTCTCGGGTTCTTCCTGGTTAAAATCCCAGTTACACGTTGGCTGCTGGTGGTCTTAAACTCTGTGAATAGGAAATCCAAAACATTTGTGAACACTGCCCCCAGGTGGAGACTATCGGCGACGCCTACATGGTGGTGTCTGGTCTGCCGGTGAGGAACGGTAAACTCCACGCTCGGGAGGTGGCCCGGATGTCTCTCGCCCTGCTGGACGCTGTGAAGAGCTTCAGGATCCGACATCGAGCGAATCAGCAGCTGCTGCTCCGCATTGGCATACACAGTGGTGTGTGTGTGTGTGTGTGTGTG